ATGGCGTACACTTCGTGGACCCTCGAGGTATGATAATCTTCTTAATTCCATCATTACTGGAGGATGGACGCAACACAAATGTACCCACTAGGTCCAATAACATTCTTGATCTTATATTCACGATCAACGTAGCACCATCTACAATTCATGTGGGACATGAATTCCCAGGTAGCGATCATAAAATAGTTGCATGTTCGTTTAATATTTCTCCAGAAACTATACACAGAAACGAAGTTAGTCGGACACCTATAAGACTATACACGCGGGTTGATTGGGACTTGTATCAGGACTTGATTAGATACTCTAATTGGGATTCCTACTTTACCAATGACTCCTTAGAGGAAGTCCTTAAAAACTTCTATGACAATATACAGTCGGTTAATGATGTCATAGCGCCTGTGAAACTGATTAAATTCAAAATCCCTCAAGGTGATTTTATTCCAATATCATTAAGAAGAAGTTTGCGGAAGCATTCATTAAGTTACTAGACATGACGACTTATCGTCGTTAATCGCTATCAAAACAATCCTCATTAGAATCCATGAGTTAAAAAATCTAAGTCTTAGGAATAAAGAAACGCGGGCAATTCAGTCGCCACATAACACTGGAGAAATAGCCAAACTCTTCAAAAGTAGGTTAACTAACTCCAAATCAACATATCCAAAAAATACACCTAGGTGGCATTACTCACGAAAGTGCTGAGGATATATGTGAGGTGTTTAGCACGCACTTTGCCAAACTGTACACTCTAGAAAATGACCAGGATATAGATTTCCCTCGTAAAACAGAAAAGTGTCTAAGCGATGTAGTCTTAAACGCCCAAGAAATCGATAAAGCTATCACAACTCTTAAGCTTACTAATACTCCCGGCCCAGATGGAATGTCTTCCGTCCTCTTAAAAAATGGTGGAAATGACATGAATCTACTTCTTCTCAAGATATTTTCAACTTCGATAAGGAGTGGAACATATCCAAATAGCTGGAAGAAATCCTACGTTGTACCCATTCACAAAACCGGACCTACAGCGGACATAGATAATTACCGCCCCATCAACATTACTTCCGTAGTTTCACGTGTGATGGAAAAGATTGTAAAGAAGCAAATTGTTCAGTATTTGCTCTCGAATGACTTAATATCCCCTTTCCAATACGGTTTCCTAAATAGAAGATCGTGCATTACGTGCCAGTTAGATTATTTCGACCACATTACTGAATGTGTAGACAAAGGTCGTTCGGCAGCAACATTATTTCTAGATGTTAGGAAAGCTTTTGATAAAGTCCCACATAACAGACTCATACTGAAACTCCTATCTTATGGAATAAGTGGAAGGCTTCTTGAGTGGATAACTTCCTTTCTTACAGGAAGAGAACAGTTAGTTAAAGTCAACCATCACTTATCAACATCCAAACCGATAACCAGCGGCGTGATACAAGGTAGTGTTCTTGGCCCTACCCTATTCATTGTATTCATAAATGATATTGTCTCTATGATCAAGTATGGCAAGCCATTGCAAAGTAACCCGCCTACACATTATAAAAAGATATTAACAGAACCAACAAAATTTTAGCATTTGGTTAACAATACTGCAGAAGGGTAGTTAGTCTTACAGGGAGCCGTAAAGTAAATCAATCTATATATGATAAGGGTATAATCAATGTTATAATTCTTATTATCAAAGACGACATTAGACTCAATATCTGAGTATTATAAGGGAAATAAGATTGATAAACCAAGAGAACATTTGCTGCGAAAATATATTAATCATTTTAAGTATTTGAATGACAATCTAATTTCAAGTATTGAACATGCATAATTACTAAGTATTATTATGTTAGTCTAGGAACTAGTGTACTTTCTGTAGTTAAATATTGAAATGTCATTGTTTCACCACTCTACCAGCAGTTGAGATCTTTTATACGGGCTAGGGTGAACATGTTAATATGTTTTTCTAGGCTCCCTTTGAAAATGTCACGCCTTTCACAGGATCTAATCTCAGAGGGTAGTTGGTTCCAAAGCTTTAAACATTTAATGGTGAAGAAGTTAGCTCTGATGGTGAGTTTATGGGTGTTAACCTTGAAAAGGTAGTTATGGTTGCGTAGTCCATACGATTTAGAATTAGCCCACGTTATGGATGAGTTACTGTTACAGTGCCTTCTTATAACTTTGAATAGGAGAAATAAGTTGCACTTCACTCTCCTTAACCATAAGGGTTCTAAGTTCAGTTGAATACATCTGTCAAGGTATTCTATTTCTGATCATAGCCTAATATGCGTTTCGTGAGGAATCTTTGGACACTTAACTTTTTTTCTGCGGTAGCCATAATAATCATAGTCTCACAGCCTAACATCTAAAAAGGAGGGAGGGTGGTGCTAACTGATCAGTAGATATGGTGGCGGTCACTAAGGTGAATCACCCCATTCTGCAGGAACAGCAATATGCAATTTGAAGGCTCGAGATATTTCTGATTTTTATGAGGGCTTAGATCTTTATCTTGAAAAAGATAATAATGAACGCCTTGACAGATCATGCTTCTGCCTTTAAATATATACCATTCGCCCAGCCTATTGTTGAGATGCGACCATGTGGGATCTGCACAGATATATGGGGCATCTTATAAATTAACTTGCTGTCCATTGTCGGATCTTTAAATACCACTTCACAATGTCTTATCTCATTTATTTTCTAATAACGTCTTTACTTGATCCTCATTATATTCCATTAAACCTAAATTTTATAGCTCTTTATGAATTTGATTCGACTTGTTCTATTTCTATTCTCTTTACGGTACGGTTGTACACCAAATGCACAAACAGTTATAAAACAAAAAACCGGCATGAGGATAAATGTATTAAAACCAAAAGTGCACATCATGATAGTAAGACCTATATGGGTAGCATTATACATTGCAAATGAATGTTGTCAGCCTAGGGATTTTCCTTTATAAATGCATTTATTAATGATACTTGCACTTACCTATTTCATTACAATTTAATGATTCACCTAAGCACTTTTACTTTTCTAAAAACAGCTTTCAATCCCTTGTAAAAGTTGTACCTACCTCAATATTGGTTGGTTATCGTATGCCTACAACCACGGGATGAAAACGAAACGAAGTCGATTTTCCCGCGAAACCTGGAAGACAACTGTACAATTCAATAACTATATGGACTGGTTCAGAAAATGAGTGTATATATATATATATATCAAATATTTAACAGTTGAAACATTTTTAACTTGTAGACAATCTACGATTTGACATTATATCATACTTGATTGTGCCTGTGAAAACGGCATACATTTTCATGTAAATTTATATGTTTTTATGAGAATACTTATCATTATTATTATTATAAGAATTTAATCTTCTTCTCTTTTCAAAGATACTGCTTTCAACGAAGTTACTGATACAGCGCTGCTATTCTCCGCTTATTCGTGATATTCCTAGCTCATCTGGTGAATAACGGGATCACCTCTATTATAAAATCTGCTGACAAGTTCAAAGTCGGTCTCGTAAACAACTGGAAGTGTCACAAATATGGTGTACTTGCAGGTGAATTTAAAGTTTAATAGACTTTGAAACACTTTACGAATCACTTACTGATAAGTTTTGTTTATTCTGCACCTCTTATGTATCACGTCAGCACCTGTACAGAAACGCTACTTACCTTCCTCAACTAACGCAATCATTTATAATTCCCGCGTGAAGTTGACATATCGTATTTTTTTCAGTCACTGTTTAGATTTGATGCTATATCTATTTCCTTATTTGTACACTTCATTTTAAATGTTTCTCTCACATTTCCCAGTATTCAACTTATTTCTAAGTTGACAAATCAAAATATATATTCTATAAGTCTTAATAAGTGTACGTATGTTCATGCCTGTAAAAATGGCTAGTTTCTGTTCCAGAAATAAATATTATTATCATTATCTCGTGTGGGTTTTGGTTGACCTGCAATGTGGAGACACTCCGTGAAGTTTCTCCATGTGATCGTCGGAAATATACGTAGGCAATTCTGGTTAGCATATACCCTAAGCGCAACTAATTGCTCATAATCATACCAAGGTGATATGATCTTAGTATGATTATGAGCAATTAGTTCTGCTCGAAACGTCATCAGTAGGTATTACCGAGACTTTATCAAAATAAATTTTACCCACAACGGAGTATTTTGCAGGTGCTTGAAAGGTAGAGAATTGACGAAGACAACTGGGTTATATCTAAAGTAGTTGGAACAAGATGGTATCTTGTGGAGACGGCTAAACACAGGGATTAATACTGTGGGTGCTAGTGAAGCTGTTTATGTTGTGAATAAATTTCTAGAAGCCCAGGTCTACAAGCATCTTTCCAAGAACTAATCTCTAAATGTTTGCCTACTCTGGCCTAAACTGTCTCGTAGAAAACAAACCCGAAAATATTTTATGTCACTTTGCTGTAATATCAACTGCGGGATGCTGCGACAAGATAACTGATCGCAGTGTTTGTAGAGTGGAGGTGTTCAGAAGATTTAGATGATGAATGCTGTTGTAAATGAGATAAGAACATTTCTGATAAGGCCTCACAGATATTTAAGATAAACATCACAAATAGATATTCTACACAGTGGAACAGTGTCAGAGTTCCTGAGTTTCTGTCACTTACGAAAGAAGCTTTTTCTATTGATTCTGTGGAAGAAATGAGACGTTTGCATTAGCTGACACAAATTTCATGTTATATTAAGTTGTCACTGAGAGCTTATTCATGATAGTGATAACAATCGAAAATTGAGTTATCTTTGAGAAACAGTGAAAACTAGGCGAGGATAAGCAAAATCTACGATATTTCCTCTTTGCGTACTAGAAATTGTTATTGAAACTTTAACGTTGATGTTAACCACTGGTTCGCATATGGACGCTACCAAATGTGCTATCGCTGAGTTGTGGCGTATTATTCAGTGAGTTCGTTGCAGTTTGTTACTAATCGCCATTAAAGGACTGTTCACAATAAGTCAGATTGACTCATGAAGAACTGTTCTGTGAAACCAGTCTCAGTTGTACTGGGTGCACAGTGGGGTGATGAAGGAAAAGGAAAGTTAGTAGATTACTTATGTGAATCTGCTACTGTGGCATGCAGATGTCAAGGCGGAAATAATGCAGGTATGTTCAGTATTTTTTCTATGTAATCTCCATAGGTCATACTGTAGTTGCTGGCGGAAAGGAATACTTCTTTCACCTTTTACCCAGTGGTATAGCGAACCCCAATGTTTTGGCTATTGTTGGTAACGGCGTCGTTGTTAATTTGCAAGGCCTTTTCCAAGTAGGTCATGTTCTCATTTAATTTGTTCTCTTTAGGAAATTGAAGAGGCTAGTACAAAAGGCTTGCCAGACGTGGCTTCTCGTCTACGTATATCTGACAGATGCCACTTAGTATTTGATATACATCTGGAGGCGGATCGTATGGAGGTACTGGGATCGTGTTTCATTACTTTGTTCAATAGGAGGAATTAAGAGGGGCCAATCTTATTGGTACTACAAAGAAGGGAATCGGTCCAGCATATTCTTCAAAGATTACTCGTAATGGCTTGCGTGTTGGCGATTTAATTGGAGATTGGGATCGTTTTACAGCAAAATACAAAGAGCTTGTTGCTTATTTTAAAAGACGTTACTGTAGTCTTGATGTCAATGTCGAAGAATCATTAGAGGTGGGTTTATCTACTTATTCTTGTTCGTATGCTAAACCGAAAGAGACGTGTTTGGGAGTAGTGCTTTGATTTTGATTTGTTAGCGCTAAGATAGTCTTAAACGGGTTATCACTCTAATATTGATGAAGTCTGTTCACTTTTTATTTGATAATTAAATGACCATTATGTTATATAGTAAAACCTTTCAGTTCTCTGCGACGACGATGTAAATTTAATGTCCTAATATTTCTTGTTGTTAGAAGGCAAAAATAAGTTGATGACCTTTAAAGTGATAGAAATGTGCTGCAAATAAGATTCTCTGCCTGAAGTAACTCCAGAACTCCCCAAGCTATTGCTAACTGGGGACTTAGTGAAATACAATTTAGAAAAGCTTAGCTTTTTTGCGTTTTGTTTGAAGCCCAAATTTTTCGAACTGTGCCTGACAAGTTTGAACTGCTAGTTTAGCTTATATATATATATAACCTATTCCAACTTATGTGAATCCTGACTTCGTGTTCCAATCGTTATTTTTATGACCCTGCAATAAATCTACCTTATCGTTTCAGATTATCAGATTTATCCCTGATTATCTGACCTTCGTAATACTACTGAAAAATTTATATTATATGAGGGAATAAAAAAATGTAGAGTCCATTTCAGGGAGAATAGGCTACCTATGTATTTGTGGTGTCCACTTCTAATTCCAGGTGAAATCTTTACAAGTTAGTGTGACTCTTGAAATAACTAGATTTTCAATAGGATATAGGAGGACAAATGATATTGTTGGTCTGGAAATATATAGAATAGAAAAAATGATGTGTAAGAAGCACTGTGTAATTGTTAATATGGCATGTTACAAGTCTTAGAGGAGAAGGCTTGCAAAAACTAATTAAGACCCTTTTTCTGTTCACCGAAATTTTCGTAATAAGACTGACTGACTGGTTTCGAGTTGCAACACTCCACGTAGCACACAAAGCACGAGAAGAGACTAAAGAGGGATTCAGAAGTGAGATAACAAATAGAAGTATTAAACAAAAAGAATAGTAATATGGAGGAACAGTAGAGATTTTTCTGGATATTATAAATCACAAAGAGTGAATGCATCTGTGCCATTGAAAGCAATTTTAGGCCATATCACCGATTGTCTCCAGCCACTGGTTTTTACCATCCCAAGGCCCGAAATCAGGAGGTTTACACCTTCCTACATGACTGACTCCAATTAACTGTTGTGGGTTTCATTGAATGATGCCATGATTTGGTTTGTCCGCCATTAGCTCTTTTCCAACCTGATCATATGTCAGCTAACATCGCACATCGAGGAAGGCGATGGCTGGGCATACGCCACATACGTCCTAACCATCTCAGTCGGTGTAATTTCACAACCTCGTCGATTGATTCCTCCTCCTTATCTAGCACTCGACGCCTAACCTCAATGTTGCTCGCCTTATTATACCACCTAACACAGGAGATAGAATGCAGCCGCCTATGGTCAAGGACAGCTAGCCTTTTCATGTCTTCCACTTTCAATAGCCAGGTCCCACAGCCTTAAAGGAGAACAAGGCCCACTGCTGAGGAGTGCACACATCCTTTAGTCGACAGACGGACATCACGTCCACGCCACAGATGGCATGATTTGGCGTGTGCCAAACGAGCCTTCTGTATCTGTGCCGAGATTTCGTCATCAATCAACCCACTGGCACTGGCTGATGCAACTTCTCAAATAAGTGAAGTGGTCAACACGCTCCACCAACTACTTCACTTCCTATCTTTAAACTAGGAGTGAGTCTACATAGTCCAGTCCTGTAGCATCATCTTACATTTGGCGGGAGCGAATCGCACGCCACACATTCGAAGGTTGCTTCTCAATGTGTTCGAAATATTGCGTTTTCTCATTGTCTTCACCTAGAAGGACTGTATCATCTGTATATCCTAGGTCGACAAAATTATTCCCCAGTAATAAGTCAGTGCCTGAGTCACTGAAGTCAGTTGCGGTTAAGTCCATTAGTAGATTTATGGTGAAATTAAACAGAAATTGAGACAGTGAGCGTCCCTCATGGACACCAGTGGTTGTCACTGCCTCAGATAACGACTCTCCGTAGGCTCTTACCTGGCTGGCTGCATGAGTTGGAGTAGTGTCTTGATCAGTGTGATGTATTTTCTCTGCATTCCCTTCACATTCAAACACTGCCATAATACCTCTCGGTCGACGGAACCCAATGCTTCTTTCAGGTCAAGAAATACGACGACTGTTGGACTCCAGTAAGTATGCCTGTGTTCCAGAATCTGTCGAAGAGTGAAGATATCAATACACTCTCCTCCTGGTTTAAATCCTGCCTGGTTCTCACTAGCACCACTTAGTCTACGCACGATTATTCAGCCTAAAACTTAAGATATCATATTGGTCAAGCTAATCCCCCTGTGATTATCATAGGAAGACTTGTCTCCCTTCTTGTATATCGGGATAATCAATAACTTACACTAGCTTGGGGGGACTATCACTGATTCTTAAACGCTGCCTAATACCGTAATTAATGCAGACAGTAAACTATCTCCACCAACCTCGAAAACATCTGGAGTCATTCCATCAGGTCTCTCTGCTTTGCCACGTTTCGGACTAGTGACAGCTATTGTAACCTCAGCTAGGGACGGAAGAACTGTGTCTATATCCCATTCAGGGAGGTGTTGGATGTTTGGCAGGTTAAGCGGGGATGTAGGCCAGTCGAATTGTTCCTGTGTTCTTTCCAGCGTTCCAGCTGTCTATCCTGGTAGCTAATTATGGCGTCATTGTTTTCAGAGATTGTTTCACTTATCATTTACCTTTTACCACCTGTTTCTCCGATAAACCTAAATAGTTGTCTGGTGTTACCAATCGCCGATGCCTTTTCCATCTCTTTCGCTTTTGCCGCCGACCACTGTTCACAGTCGTTGCAACGACTTGTTGTTAGTTTGCGTTTGAGCAGCTCTCGCTTCTCATCATATTCGCAGCTCGCCGGAATCAGTCTTCTTGCGTTAATCAGTTTGGATGAGATAGTAGAAATCCACTGGCTCTTACTAACTTTTTGGCCTTTACAGCTGTGTCTACAGCTAACTTTATATTGTGTCAGGCTTCCTCAGGGGAAGTATTACTGTTGACCTCAGATACTTGTTTCACTATTTCTTCCCTAAATAGGGTCTCAGTGTCTTGATCTAATTGGGGGCATAACTGCTTACCTGCAAACTTTTTTTTATGTCCGTTTAATCGTAAGCATAAACATGCACGAAACAGGGATTGATGTGTCTACGCACATCTTCCGTAATGAGTGGCAGTCTTCTACTGACCCTCGCCAACGATAGCCTATCTCTATGTGGTCTGTTTCAGTCCAACGTTGATTTGGTTATGGAGGTCTCTGGGTTAGGCAATGTATTTGTGCCTAGACAGTTTCTGGTAGAAATTATCCTTTAATTCATCCGAACTGCAGTCTGTTGGGACGTAAGCGGGGACTACGAAAAGATAACGATGGGTAACGCCGTCCTTACTTCTTATAACGGACTCGTTCACACGGACCACACATACGACTATCTACTGGGATCCATTCACGAAGTGGTTTTTCTGCCCTGACACTCAATGCTATCCCTATACCTGCAAGTCCTCGAGAACTAGCTGAAAAATATCCTGACACCCTTAAGGTGAATTTCGCAGATTGACAGTGTTGGCCGGGAGGGGCTAAGTGCATAACCACACTCGGATCTTGCATGTGTGTCTCCGAAACACAACATACATCCATAGCTGGAGATGTTAGAGTTCTGGCTGGTGATGCCTGACGTTATATGCTCCAATATAAAGTTGGCGTCGTGGCTTTAAGAGGCTATCAGGGGTGTTTTTTGGCTCATCGTTATTTGTGGCACACACTAAAATGAAGATGATTGACTAGTGCGCAGAATAGTACTGACAGTGGTAGGAAAGCAAGATGATGAGGATGACAGGAGTAGAGCAGAATGATAGTCAGGCGGGTTTCGTATGCTTTTGGAAGTGTGCGGGTGGCTTTTACTTCTCGGCTGCCCACAACGTGGAAGTTGATTTACCTGAAACAGAAAGGGGTTAGTGTTGCGTGACCGCAGAGCCCAGGGGACAACTGCTTGAGGTCGGTCACCCACGGGATTTTCGAACTGGCTTTTCGGTTTGATTCTGTATTAGCAACTTACCACCCGCTACGGACCATCGTAGGGTAAGTTGGGATGTGCAGTTTTCGGGGTTGACCTTTTCTAGTCATCTCTATTAGGAGTGGAGAGACAGCATAGCTGGCATGCTGGTCGCCTGAGGGAAACACCTTACTGCTGTTACATCCCTGCTCCCCTGTTGTACGACTTCGCCCACAGACTCTCAGCATAGTGAAAGAAAGATTCTTACACAATGCCGGTAACTGCTTTTAGTCTAATCGCTATCCTAACTGTCTCCCTGGCATGGTAGGATCTGAAGGAACATTAGTTCCAGTCAGTGTAGCTTGTTGGATCATGGCGATATGCAAGCCAGATCATTACGTCAAGGTAGCAACTATCCGTCTAGTTTTCAATAAGAATGTTGTGCAGTTTACTCAACAGGGTTTCTGCAAGGTTGGGTGATAAAGTTGTTTAATATTTTGTATAGAGTCCTGACATAAGATTCTGAAGAGAAACGAGAACTTGTTTGTATGCAAAAGGTGTGGACAATATGAATGTGGCCAGTGGTAGGAAAATATTTTAAAGTCTCTCGAAGGTGTCTTTGCAGTTGTAAGTAATACCTGGTATAATCAATGAATGAACAAATAATGGGCACGTTGTCAGGACAGGGAACCTCATGTAATGAGGGATTTGGCTTCATGGTAGAAAGTTCATGATGTTTTGCTATAGACTACAGTTCATTAGAATATGCTTTTATTGTAGGTATCATCGTAAAATTGTATTCACTTAGCATCTGTTATCACCGTTAGTCACCACGCTTAATAAGTTTGATTTGGAGTTCAGTTATGTTCCTGATTACATCTGGTATTTAAGATCTTGTTTTATTAATTTATTTGTAGCAAACGCGTATAGTATATATCAGCAGGAAATTCTGAGCACTGATGTTCATTTTGAAATATTTGTTTCATTTTCGAGAACTTTTGAACTGGATTTATCATATTGCCTCTTTTCAGCAACTGAAGACTTATCGCCAAAAGTTATCAGGAATGGTGTGTGATACTGTGTCTCTAATTAACAAGCTTGCAACCACTCAAGAAGCCAACATCGTAGTAGAAGGTGCCCAGTCGTGCATGCTAGACATTGACTTTGGCACATATCCGCATGTTACTTCGTCGAATTGTAGTATTGGAGGTGTGTGCACCGGCTTAGGACTTCCTCCTTCTCGCATTGGTCCGGTCTATGGTGTTATTAAAGGTAAAAATACCTAGTTTTTCATTTTGACTTTTCATTGATTTAATGTTTTAAACGGGGAACTACTGAAGTTATTGTGTAGTATTGATAGTATTTATTCTACCGGGGATTTCAAAAGAACACTAATTATTTTTTAATTTAAAGATTTACTTCAATTTGTGATCGGTTTTGATTCTAACCATCCTAAGATATTTAGGATCTAAACTATGGAGCTATTCGTATGCTATTGAATTGTAGCAAGGGATTGTGTGCGTCATTCGAAGAATCCTTTGTGATAATTAAGGTGTGTGGATTCTGATAGTTCTAGTTTCTCTGTTAATAGAACATGCTAAAAGCCACTAGTCACATTCTTCGAGTTTACAAATGCAACGAGAAAACGGAATGCATCAAGGCGCTAAACGGTGTGTTAGGTGTTCTGAATATTTTACTTCATATTATGAGTAGAGATGAATGTATAAAACTTTTAATAATATCTGGTCATTTGAACACTGTAGATAAAGTGGGACAGTGATTTATTTTTTTGAGTATCCGTAAGATAGTTTTGTATCGCTTATTTGTGTAATTGTGAATACAGTTTTATTTAACGAATTCAGTTTTCAAATGCTTTAGGAGCAGTAGTTTTTCTAACTACTTAACACCCTGTTAGAATCTGTCTATCAATTTATGCCGTAATTTGCATATCGCGAGTAAATGTGTACCTCTACCTCAAATTCATCGACTTCAAAAAGGCCTTCTACCGCTTCGACTGAAAAGTAATTTGGAAACTATTTCAACACTATGGCGTACCTCAAGTCTTCATTAACCTCATTCAACAGCTATATGACAATGACACGTGTCAGGTAATCCACAACCGTAAATTCAGCGAGGCGTTCGAAGTGAATACAGGAGTAAGACAGGACTATCTATTATCACCGATGATATTCCTAAGTCTGGTGGGCTGGATTATACGTCAGACGGTGTACACGGGGTGAGGAGACAGTAGTACGCTGGACCACCAACAAGAAGACTCTAGAAGATCTGCATCTCACATGTGGATGATATATATCTGTGTCTAATGTCACAAACTCGAAGACTTGCAAGCGAAAACAAAAAGAACTAGCTGAAGAGGCAGGCAGCGAAGACACAACTCCAGGTGAACGTAGAGAAGACCGAGGTGATGAAGAGATGACCAATGAACCGAAACAATAACAACAACAAGCAACACCAAACACCGTCAACGGGAGAGATTTGATAGAAGTGACTTTCTTCAGTCACCAAGAAAGCCAGCATCGTTTCAACCACAGTCACGCAAAACGGATGAAGATGTCACAGCCGGCCAGTCAGAATCGGAAAGACAAGATACGCCTTCATCAACCTGAAACCAATTTGGAAATCCTCTTCTGCACTGCAATCAGCCAGCATAATGAGCAAGATTCGGATTTTCAGAACAAATGTCAGTGAAGTCAGTTAGTTCTTCTATACTGGTCAGAAACTTGCACTGTATGTCACGAAACGGATTTCCAACAGCCTGTTGCAGACTTTTATCAATAGCTGCCTTCACTGGCTGCATACTGCAGATCAAATGGTCAGCCGGCGAGAAAGAATTAACAACAAGAAACTCTGGCTGGCTAGGAACAAACCGACCAAGAGCCGATCACTCAATAAATATATGTAGGAGAAAATGGGGATGTATCGGTCATACATTGAGGAGGCCGTCCAGCGACATGGCGCTTAATGCAGACCATCGCTCAAGTGGAATCCCAATGGGAAGTGATGAGTGGGTGGTCGGTGAGAGGGTGACTTGGAGGAGATCGTTTGGCTAGCCAGCTGAAGAGGATGGCAGAAAAAGAAGTAGGTGGAGATGTGTTGTTGAAGTCCTATTTTCCACTCGGAACTCAGGGAAACAATAAAAAGTAAATGTGTGAAGCAATCATTATATACACTTTGTTAAAGTGGTACTGGATAACAAAATAAGTTCCCTTTTTCTACTTTTTTTTTAACAGCATATACAACTCGCGTCGGCTCTGGTGCGTTTCCTACAGAGTTACTGGATGGTATTGGTGAATCCATTCAAAAGAAGGGCCATGAATGGGGTGTAACAACTAAGCGGATGCGTCGTATTGGTTGGTTGGATATAGTGGTTGTACGATATGCCCACATGATTAACGATTTTACTGCATTGGCTTTAACTAAACTGGACGTTTTGGATGATTTAGAAGAGGTAGGTAAATGAGTATCAATCCTCAGTATCAGTTTACGTATATCGTACAATTATGTCTAGTACTGTTAGCATTCAATGATTAGTTGGAATATTACAGCATTCACCTGTTGATTAGACTTATCAACACACAGTGAAACAGTGTTATTTACTGGATAACAACATTGTTTTCAAACTGTGTCTCTATACGAATGTTTTTTGTAAATCTTAAATTAGTATAATATCATTATAAATTACTAATCGAGGTATACCCTATAAGTTATGATAAAGTGTCGTGAGGATAGCGTTTATTATTATTATTTTTGGCTGGAGTTCTTCTAATCGTAAAGCTTTCTCAAACTAACCCATATATTTTGCAACTGGTTAGTTCATAAGGGGAGTAACTTTCAACTATCGGGAAGTTAAAATTCTTAGGAAGTCAAGCAAATTTCTATGTTTTATTCTAAACTAACTTGCTAACTGACTTTTGGTAAAAACAATTGTTCTTAGCTTAGTAATTACATAAAAGCATGTGTCAGAAAACTTTGTTGCACTGTTACGTTGTTAGCTTTAATTGCAATAATACGTCTTTTGTATTTAAGAAGTAACCAGACATGGAGAACTTTTGTCTCCCTGTTCAGTCAAACATTGGCGAAATAAGCTTCAGATTAATGAATTTATGTTGGTGTACAACGTCTCTCCTGTTTTTCAAAACAATGTATACCGAGCAAAGAGTACTCGTTTCGATAACCCGTTCATCATCAGGCTCTACAGTTATATATACATTATAGTGAATGAATGAATTAGTGTTATGAACAACATTAATGCTGTTTAAATAACATCGAATTAATAATATTGATAGATTACAGCTCAATATCATCAACATAACAATAAACTAAATGTCAGAAAAATTAGGAAAGATAATATTACAAATTCATGAATTTATAGTCTCTACTGAAGGCTGGCCAGGGCAGTAGTAGGGGCTAGCTGGACTTGCTTTTTTTGAGCACAGAGCACTGGTTGTTTGAGGCGAATTGCAATAGCCTCTGCTGTTTGGTTAAAGTATACGTGCCCGTTGGTCTGATTTCTTCATATAAGCTTAGTTTCTTCAAACGTCTGGTTAATTCATTCTCTATTTTGTTATTGAAATCTTTCTTCTCAAGTTTTTGAAACTTCTGTGTGTCCTTCAGTATATCATTCATCTTTTTAATATAGTCATTTCTATCAAGGATGACTACTCTTGATCCTTTATCCGGTTTGTCTGTCTGTCTGTCTGTTTTCGACATAGAACTTTGCACAAATGTGCGGAAGTTCAAGTCGCCACACTCCGTGTAGCACGCGAAGTAAGAGAAGAAAGTGATTATCAATCTCTCATCATTTATCAGTTTTTTAGTTCTTCTCTGTGCTCCTTTGCCAAAAAACGTTCACTATCGCATTTGAGGTTTTTGTACTGATAACGACAATCCACTAGACTGGATTTGAAGCATTCTAGTTCCAAGGTGGATGAAGGAACTAGATATCTTGTTTGACTAAATAGGTTTTCGAATTCAATATCATTATCTAAGTGATTTACTCGTTTCGGTCTATCACAAAATCGAAGACCAAGGGAAAGTACTTCAAGTTGCACCTTATTTAATTCAACACTACTATAATTGTAGACGTACTTTTTAGGATCTGCTGGAAATTTACCAGTTTCTGGCTTCCTTTCAATTCCTTTCATAAGCTCTCTCTGCTTCTTCTGTGCTCTTCATTCACTAATTTGAGAAACGTATTCCATAAAAGGCATTCTAAAATCTTCTGCCTGCGAGCGGTATTCATCTCATTCTCTTGTATGTGTGTAGATAAAGAGCCTGTTTGTCTGTTTTTGTTCATATGTAAGATGAAAGTATGTAAAATACTCTATTTTGTTATGGTTGTGTTCTCTGAACTGGATGGTTAATTTGCGAAGCCTTCATCACCCTACTGTGTTACATCTTCAGCGCATACTTCAATTTGTTGAAGTGAGCTTTTAGAATTCTCCACGAGTTTATTAATCATCTCTCCTGGTCGGTGACCTTGGACGTGATTGGTTGTTTTTGTGTGTTTTCACACCTTCTAGGTTACTTGCATTGGAACTGATTGTTTCTATGATTTGAACTTTGATCCTTTGTGTGTGAAGTTTCTTTCTTATCGGTTGATAAATTTTGTCTGCCTCTATGTGTCTATTGATTGATGATTCACTGGAATGCCTTTCTTCTGAAATTTCTCTAGCCTTCTTGTTGTTTCCTCTGTCTAGTATTTGAACGTTGGTTGTCCCAGTCGAATTGATGTCCGTGGTTGTCTGTATGTAGTGATATGAGGGAGTGGATATCATGTCTTTTGACGGCTAGCTTATGTTCGTGGATACGAAGACGAAGGGGACGTCCACTTTGGCCAATGTATTGTTTTTCGCAGTTGTTACAATTTATTGTGTAGATGATGTTGATTATATCTTCTTTCGCTGTTGAGTCTTTTGGTTGACATAGAATTCAGTGAAGTCGCTTGACTTGGAAAGATGAATGTTTCAAAGACAGTCTATTTGCTGAATTATTGTATTTAAGGTTTTCAGCGTAGTGACTAAAGTTCAGTGCTTATTGTTCGTTCAAGCATTTCATCTACTGCCACTTTCATCATTCCCCCATCCATGTATAGATACCTACAGATTTAAGGAGATATAAGTGTTTAGTAATTGTTTATTTTCAGTTTTCTTGAAGTCGTTGAGTTGACTACTTGTTTACTGAGGTGGAAGAGCAGATTCGTTATTTTCTGAGTGAAGTTAGGTCATTATTAACTAATCTGGCTGTTGGCCGATAAATCACGAATTAGTGGAAATTAGAATTCGTTGGTCATTGGATTCCGTCCCAGTGATTGAGCCGTCAACAAGCTGGTTTTGTGACGTTAAGGTTCTGAGGTTTATCCTTGGTGAGGGTGATGGGTGTGTATTACTGAGCAGTCCTGAACTAGGAAGAAACAGCAGTCCTGTACTTCTTGGTTTTCAGTGGTTTTTTAACTGAAATCATTTCGTTGTCAAACTTGAAATCGATCAAATCCCCGGGAACTAACAATTGGAAATTAGTCTGGAATATCTTTTACAAGCTGCGATCGATATTTCACCGAAGAGTTCTACAAAAATTGGTCATCGAGTGAAAAGTAGACATATCCAACAATTATGTTTGCGTGTTGGTTTGTAGAGATTTGATTGGTTAAAGGATTTCATCATGAGCTGACATTGGTTAGAGAACCATTGGAAAGCTACCAGGGAGTGCTGGGCAGCTGTTTCGCCAGCCTAGTTTGGGACTCTTCATCAGTACGCACCTACCCACCAACGGGGTTATAACCCAGGACCTTCTGGTTACAAGGCGAGCTCGTATACCACTAAGCCACTGGGACCCGATCCAATAGCCAGCCCATGAATTCTAACTTCTGCCAATTCACGACATAGCGTGACCACTAGCCATTGTCATCCACTGCGAGTATTTGTCCTCACACCCGACCTGCTGCACCCTACTGGTCACGACTGGTCACTTATGATTGCGTAAATTTCAACGAGATGTTGATTCTACTGGTTTTAATTCCTTTGAAATTTATAAGAATATAATTTGTAATCTAGAATATTTGTGAAATGTGAAGCAATATTGTTTTGCATTCACAATTGGTATGTTTTGTGACACTATGCATTTATTGCTTTTACTGATTTAATTCCTGTGTGTAGGTGAAAATTGGTCGTGCATATATTGATCCTGAAAGTGGAAAAGAGCTAAGCGAATTTCCATCTGATTCAGCAGTTCTTAATCGTGTTGTTGTAGTGTATGAAACTCTTCCTGGTTGGAAAACATCTACACATGATTGTCGGAATTATGATGAACTACCAACAGCGGCCAGAGTATTCATTGAAACAGTTGAAAAGTTGATTAATATACCTATACGATGGATTGGAACAGGTGCTTCTCGGGACGCAACTATCATTCGATCTGTTTAAAAGGAGAGTTATGCTTATTGATGATGATTAATAATTGTTAACCTATTTTATTAACATTTTTTTTCTAATGTAACCTAATTAGGTGAATTAGTCTTCTTATTTGCTTTTGTGTAGAGAAAAGCACCTTTTTTCTACTTTTCATAAAAATTTCCCTTATTTAGACCAAGTTTGTTAATTTTACAGCAGAGATAATTTGTCAGTATATAATACATCCCTTCCCATTGTAGTTCAGTTTGTGTTTTGTATGCTTGTTGTATTCCCTTGGTTTTCCCTAGAAATTGTCACTATCCCCTTCATAATATCCAATATTCTTTAATTTTTAATTTTCTGTTTTTTTGATTTATTAAAATGCGTGTTATTTCTGTAAACTATTATAAAAAATTTCTGTAAGATACTATGAGTGAATTTTAGAGATTTAAAAAATATTTTTATTCATTGTAAGCTTTTCGTTTTTTTATTGGATTATAAAAGTCCAATGCTCACGAGGGGTTTTGTGAGTGCAATTTCATTGTGTTTTGATTAAAAAACGTTGGTTATTAGCTTAAGTAATGCGCGTTGGTTAATGGAGGTTGTGGCAAGCCAATATAATATAATATGTTACGAAGTACCATCAGCCCCAACGGGTTGATCTCTGACAAAATCTCAACACGGATACAGAGGGCTAGTTTCGCATATGCCAGTTTGCGCCGTCTTTAGCCCTGTAGACGTGATATCCGGCTATCGACCAAATAGCGGGTGTACTGCTTAGCACTCCGCTCCGTCCTCCTTTATGGCCACCTGTGAGACCTGGCCATCGAGAGTGGAAGACATGATAAGATTAGCTGTCTTTGATCATAGGTGCCTGCGCTGTATCTCCCGTGTGAAGTGGTAGAATAAGGTGAGCAATATTGAGGTAAGGCATCGGTCGAGTGCTAGGTAAGGAGGGGAAATCAATTGACGAGGTTGTGAAGTTACATAGACTGAGGTGGTTAGGACATGTGTTACGTATGCCTAGTCATTGCCTTCATCGACGGGCAGAGTTAACGGATATAGGGTCAGACTGGAAAAGAGCTAGCGGCGGTCAAAGCAAAACATGGCATCAGTAAATGAAATCCACAACAGCTAGTTTAAGCCACGTAATAAGGTGTAGGCTTCCTGACTGGTTGGGGTCCTCGGGAGGGTAAAAATCAATGGTTGGAAACAATTTGTAATATGGCTCAAAATCGTTCTCAGGGATGGCTGGCGCAGATGCATCCACTCCTTGTGACTTATGATTTCCAATGAAACTGTTTTGTTCTTCGTTACTACTATTCCTTTGTCTCACACCTCTGTTTACTGTCTCTATTATACATTTCTTCTACTTTCTTCTCTTGCTTTGTGTGCTACATGGAGTTTGGCGACTTGAACTAGTGCACATCTGTGCAAAGTTCTATGTCGAAAAGAGACAGACAGACAGACAAATAATATGTCACACTTGCTTAGCGTCATAAATGATAAGAGCAAGTTTACGTTATATTCATTCCTGACTTGTTAATGGAAAGAGTACGAAGTGGTATTTTGTACCATTGTTTATTGAAATAGATGATGAAGACTAATTGTACATCTCTGCGCTGATTACATAAAATTTTTCAGTGGTTCATAAAAGTGATATAGTTAAAGTGATTTGATGTGTACAGCAGCGTTCCGCATAAATATTCATTGAGAGGCTGTTTAACCCAAACAGAGTGTTGTCAGCTGCTTCATATGTAGCATAGTCTGGAAAGTTTGATGACGCCAAACAGTTTATTATTTTTTATTATTGTTATTCCCTAATGGAACATAGGTCTTCAACAACACATCTCTACTTTGTCCTATCTTCTGCCATCCTCTTCAGCTAGCTAACCACACGATTACCCAAACTCTCTCATCTACTCCTCGCCACACGATCTCCATGTCACCCTCACACCGACCACCCACTCATCACTTCCCATTGGGATTCCGTTTGAGCGATGGTCTGCATTAAGCGCCATGTCACTGGACGGCCTCCTCAATGTATGACCGATACATCTTCACTTTCTCCTACATATATTTATTGAGTGATCGGCTCTTGGTCGGTTTGTTCCTAGCCAGCCAGAGTTTCTTGTTGTTAATTCCTTCTGGCCGGCTGACCATTTGATCTGCAGTATGCAGCCAGTGAAGGCAGCTATTGATAAAAGTCTGCAACAGGCTGTTGGAAATCCGTTTCGTGACATACAGTGCAAGTTTCTGACCAGTATAGAAGGACCGACTTGACATTGGTACTGAATATCTGGAACTTGTTCCTTATGATGAGTACAGAAGATTTCCAAATTGGTTTCATGTTGATGAAGGCGTATCTTGCCTTTCCGATTCTGGCTGGCCAGCTGTGACATCTTCATCTGTTCGGACTGCCTGTTGTTGAAACGATGCTGGCTTCCTAGATAAGTGGTGGAAGTCACCTTTATCAAATCTCTCTCATTGATGGCGATTAGTGCTGGTTGTTGTTATTGTCGCGGTCCATTTGTCATATTCATCACCTCCGTCTTCTCTACGTTCATCTGGAGTCCTGTCTTCGCTGCCTGCCTCTTCAGCCAGTTCTTTTTGTTTTCGCTTGCAAGTCTTCGATTTTGTATGACATTATACATATATCATCCACATGTGAGATGCAGATCTTCTAGAGTCTTCTTGTTGATGGTCCAGCATACTACTGTTTCCTCACTCCCTGTGCACAGTCTGACGCATAATCCAGTCCACCGCAGTTAAGAATGTCATCGGTGATGACAGACATCCCTGTCTTACTCCCGCATTCACTTTGAATGCTTCGCTTCGTTTTCTGTTGTGGATCACCTGACGTATGTCGTTCTCATATATCTTTTGAGTGATATTGGTAAAGATTTGGGCAATGCACGCTGTAGTGGGTGCGTTTTCATTGGGCAGTCTTCCCAGTTTCGTAAATTATACGGACATTCCACATACCCATTCTTGCTCTTGCTTCCATCGAGAGAAGACACATTGGCTGTCTGACTGGTTTCTAGATCGAAGAATAAGATTTTTATTTTTTTTATTTTTAATATATTTTCTGTGTATCGAAGTTTCTCTAGCGGTTCGAAAGATTTAGCGGTGTGGGGTTTCTAGCCCCACACGTCCAACCCTCATTTTTTATCCAGGCTTTGAACCTGCAAGAAAATTAGCAAGCTTGTTAACTAGGCGAGGTTTGGATGCATTAAAGGGAGTGTTTAGTATCTCAGTAGTCACATAGAGACCTTATATATCTTTCTCTATGGCGGGTTTGACAAAACAATCGAGATATAACAGGTCTTATCACTACACAATAATCTAATTCCTTTGTCGATGTACATTATGTGTCTGCCTGTGATAGAAATATGTAGTTTACGTGTTTCGATGACTTCCGGTTAGTTGATTTCAGTCTTACAATATTAGTGAGAGTAGGCTGCATCTGTCTTCTCAGCGGTATAGGTTGAACAGCTGAGTGATGTAAAATGATATCTAGTAGTCAACAAGTTCAACAGCTATTTCTTTCCAAGTATTGGTTTGTCGGGATTTGATTAGTTACAGGATCTCATCATGAGCTTAATGATATACGAGCTCGCTATCCTTGTAACCAGAATGTCCTGGGTTCGAACCCTAGTGGTGGGTGCGTACCGTCAGGTGTCCCAAAGAGCTAGAACAAAACGGCTGTGCAGCAGTCCCAGGTATCCCAATGGTTCTCTAACTGATGTCGGTTCATGATGAAATTCTCGAAATCGATTTTAAGTTGATTATGTGTGTGGCAAGCTTATCATAAATCTGTTCATCTTACTTTACTTTTGTCTCAGAAAAACATTTTCAATAATAGTTTGAAAGGTCAGTCTAAAACTCGTCTTGTTTATTTTCAACTATCCTTAATTGATATGCTTCGCCTGTTTCATCTATACATATTTCCTTTTATCTAATAATATATATATATATATATATATATATATATATATATGAACTGGAAAAGTGCGTAAAATAGTGAATGATTTTAGAATAATTTTCCAAACTACGCTATTTATCAGTCGGAACAGATATATATATATATATATATATATATATATATATATATATATATATATATATATATATATATATATATATTGTATCCTTTAGTTCCTAGAGGAACATAGGGCTTCAGCTGCGCACCTCCATTGACTTCGGTTTTTTGACAACTTTTTCACCCTGCTCCAGGTCTGCCCACATGCTTTCATCTCCTCTTCACATGACCTCCTCCAAGTCACCCTTGGACGACCAACTCGCCGCCTCCCTTTCGGGTTCCACTCGAGCAATGGCTTGTCTAGTGATGTCACTTGATGGTTTCCTCAGCGTATGGCCAATCCATCTCCATTTCTTTCTGCCTATTTGTTTCACAATCGGTTCCTGATTGGTTCGCTCCCAGAGATCCCTGTTGCTGATCTTTTCTGGCCATCTGATCTTGAGTATTGAGCGGAGACAGTTGTTAATGAAGGTTTGAAGTTTGTTTGAGATGCTCTTTATGACTCGCCAAGTCTCTGATCCGTATAGTAGCACTGACTTCACATTGGAGTCGGAACAGATAACGTCATACTTATTCTACTATGCCTGAATGAACATTAATCTAAACAAATTCTAAATTTCGAAGCGATTGAGTGCTTCAAATCTTTGTGGTGTATGTAGTTTCACTCGACCTGTGTTATTTACGTCACAGTTGTCTTCAGTGCAGTCTGATATGCATTCCAAGTGGGCGGACTGCAGATTATATATATATATATATATATATATATATATATATATATATATACTTTATATTAAATCCAAACAACGACTATAGGCAGGTATAAGAATAAAACTTGTGCACTGTGGTAAAGTGTAATTCCATTCCACTCCATTACCCATAATGGCCTATACGAAAAGTTATATTGAAAACTTCTTGATTCTTTTAATTAAGTATAACGACTTAAACGGAATTAATATGCAAATGAGATTGGTAAAGCTGCAGTGAACAGACT